GACTCCAAGCCTGGCACTCTATTCACTGTGCCACCTAGCTGCCACATAAGCCATACTGCCTTGCAATTTCTCCTCCTCGACACTCTCTGCCTTGAGTTTTGTCACATTGCTCTCTCCTGGTTCTCCTCAGGCCACCTGTTAGGGCATTTCTTTTTCAGTTCCTGGATTAACCATCTATGTTTTAATTACTTTGTGTGGAAATATGTCAGGATCCCTCCTGGGTTGTCTTTTTTTCTCTTTCTACATTCTTTCTCTTGGTGATTTCATTAGGTCTCATGGGTTCAACCATCTAAGCCAATGATTCCTACATCTATATATCAGACCCTAATCTCTACTCTTACCTCTAGTCCCACATGACCAACTTCATGGACGTTCCGCACTAGATGTCCCACAGGCATCTCAAACTCACTATGTTCAAAACAGAATTCATAATCTTTTCTCCCAAACCCACCCCTCAATTCATAACTTCCTTATTTCTGCTGGCAGTACCAACATTCTTTTGGTCATCCATGCTCACAATCTTAGCATCATTTAAACTTCTCACTCCCCTTCACCCTACACATACACTCTGCCATCAAATCTCGTCAATTCTACTGCCACAATCGCTGTCTCATCTGTCCCCTTCTCACAATTCACATAGCCCCTACCCTCATTCAGGACTTCATCATCTCTCACCTGGACTATGGCAACAGCCTTCTTCCCAATAGGCTTCCCATCCTCCCATATCTCCCCTATTCAATCCATCCAGACAGCTGTCAAGTTGATATTCCTAAAGCCTGGGTCTAATGATGACATTCCCTTGGCACAAGAATCTCCAGTGGTGCCCTATTGCCTCTAGGATAAGATACAAACTCTTCTGTCCTCACTTTTAAAGCCCTTTGCAATCTGGTTCCAGGCTTCTTTTACACTACTCATCCCCAGACAGTCCTGTGGTTCAGGCCAAATTGGCCTAGTTATTATTTCCTGCAAGCAACATTCTACCTCCAATGTCCATACCTCTGCAAAGGCCATATGTGGAATGTACTCCCTCTGCACTGTGACCAGCCACCCAAGATCCTTGATTCCTTCAAAGCTTAGCTCAAATGCTTCCAACACAAGAAGCAATTTCTGATTCTCCTACAGAAGCCAATGTCCTCCTCACCAAAAATTATTCTCTATCAATCTATCACACGCACATGAACACACATGTATTTTGTTGTTACTTTTTTTGGGTATGTGTTATTTTCTACCAAGAGGATGTAAACTCCTTGAAAGCAGTAACTATTACATTTTTGTCTTTGTCTCCCCAGAAACTAACACAGTGCCTGGCAATTAGTAGATACCTAATACTTGAAGGAAAGAAGGGAGGGAGAGAGGCAGGGAAAGGAGGAAAGAGGAAAGGAAGGGAGGAAGGAAAAAAGGAAGGAATGAAGGAAGGGAGGCAGGGAAGAAGAAAGGAAGGAAAGAAGGAAAAGAGAGAAGAAGGGAGGAAGGGAGAAAAGGAAGGCAGGAGAGAGGGAGGAAGAAAAAGATGGAGGGAGGGAGGAAGGAAGAAAAAGAAGGGAGGAAGGAAGGAAGAAAGGAAGAGAGGAAGGAAAGGAATTTAAAGGCATAGAAGACTATGGCTTAAATCTCCAGGGTACAGTACAGATTCAAAGAAAATGCTGCTCTTATAGGAGAACAAGGTTAGAGAGATCACACTGCTTTCTAGAAGTTAATTAAAGAATAGAGCCTAAAGATTAACATTTCGCAGAGTTACATGAAGTAGCAGGGAAATTTTTACTAAATCCTGCAAAGCTATTGTGAGGGAGGGATAATGAAAAAGACTTTACAAATATGACTAATAACCCTACTTGGCCTAACAGTATATGTCATTTTTTCTCAAGGGAAATTTGACTACAAATATAAGCTATAATGGAAACAAATCAGTAATATAGAAGAGAAAAGAAAAGGATTACCCATGATACACAAGAATCCTGTCTTTGATAAAATGAAGTATTTTCTCAAAATATTCCAGGTATCTCATGTTAATCACTTGACCCCTGTAAGATTCAAATAAAACGTGCTAGTTATTTAATGAGAAATATTTAGAAAAACAACAGGGTTCAAAGTGGGCACAGATGAAAATGCCATTTAAGAGCTCTAATGAGAACCAACTTAAATAAGTTTGTGGAAACGGACTTGTCTACCATTAAACAAATGGGACAACCAAGACAGTATGCAAGGTTCTCAGCAGATCTCATGGCTTATCAAAAGCCTGCCTAAACATGAAAACATAAGGTGAGCCAGAGTTTGAGGACACAGGAGAGTCAAAAGGACCACTTTCTTGAGATAATATTCCCACATCAAACCTCTTGGTCTTCTGCTTTCAAGGTATCAGATGCCTTAACAGGCACAAAATTAAATTCACTTAAGTATCGATTCCTTTTTGCCTTCAAGCATATTTAGTTTTTAAACCATAAAAATTCTCTATAAAGGTCACAAATTATTTCATAAAAGAAGAACATCAGAGATCATGAGGGCACAAGTAATTTATCTCCTGAGAATGGAAAATACTCAAGCATAAAAAATAAAATTTTATTAAATATAAACAAAAACAAATGTCAAGTAGTTCTGTAAATTAACAGTCTCATTTCTGGAAGTAGAAAACATTTAAGATGTGAAATAATGATATATTAATTTTTACCAAAAATTTAGGAAATAGGACCTTGCCAAGAATTGGGGCCTGTTTTCTATATGCTGAACAAAAAAAGTTCATATCGTAAAGGATAAGTGTTATAGAGTACCTTCTGGAGTAGAGTTAGGGTGTAAATTTCCATACTTAAAAGGAAATGCGTAGTGCATCACACATGATCTACCATAATCTATTCCTAGGGTAAAACTCCTTTTAAAATAGAAGAACATGCAAAAATTTCATACCTGATTAGATTGATGTGGTTATTAAAGCCCCTACTAAGACTTCGAGCTGGCATTTGATCTAACCATAATACAGGCTGGTCTGGATCAGCAATCCTACAAAACAGAGCCTATTAAAATCAAAAAATTTGTAAGGACTAGAAATGATCAAAAGTTTTTTTTAAAGATATGCAAAGTGTTCAAGATACAATGAATTAAAAAGAAAAGCTGGAAGTTCACTTGTATCTCAGAAAACGGATCTTGAACTTGGGGTACTACAACAGAAATTTCACAAATGGGTCACTATTGTCATAAAAATGAATCTCAGAGGAATTCTGCCTAACTTTCTACAGCTGGTTTAATCAGGCATATTTTGAACAGTAGGAACCTATAAACTGAAGTTCACTCCCAAGTACTCCTGCAACATGAGACGTGTTCTTTTTTCAAAGGGGGATTCTGATGCAACTCAATAAAAAACTGCATTTGCAAATATTTGCAAAGACATGGAGAGAATTACTTTAAGACAGCGGCAGCAGCAATGTTTGATATATTTTAGCGGGGAGTGGGGGTAGTGACTCAGAACCTATATTAACACAGGGTTTGTGATAATTCTGGAGAGCAGGGAGACCAGGCCTGAAGTAGTGTGTACTAAGCCAAACGATATTCAATGCCTTGTTTTCATCAATTCTTTAGTTCATGGCAACTGGCATCATTTCAAAATGAGAATTAGAGCTCTGCCCTGGATCATTACCTTCACCATTTTACTGCAATATCAAACATATCTCTCCACTGCATCAGTCGAGTTTTTCCATTCATTCGCACTTTAGAGTTGGCCCATGTCCTTTGCACAGCTTGCATGACTTCTAAAGCAGCCAAACCCATTGCTAAAGGGCAAAGAATTTTCAAGAAGATAAGTATTGTTAGTTCAAGTGGGAAAGAACTAATTTTCAGACTTACTATAATTTTTTCCCACTAAGAAAAGAGTTTCTAAGATATTTTTAAGAAGAAGAAAAAGACTCAAGAACATCTCATTATGCTAACCCTACTGAAATCCATAAATGGAAATCAGAGCTTTGTCCAAAGTGACCTCCTCCCTTCTATGCTTGTTACTTAAGCTTCAAGAGTGCCAGATTTTTCTTCCTTTCAATAGTGGCCTCAGCACAGTCGCCTGTGGAGTATTAATTATTTAGATCTATAATCCAAACTAACGGTACTAGCTAATAGACAAAATGTACAAGTATTGGAGTATTCTTACCCCCAACTTCCCTGACAATTCCCATTCCCAATCTAGTGGTGATATCTGTACAAAGTTCTGATCAAATGCAAATATGATAATCTACTTTTAGTACAAGTTCTCTGGTATAGGAATTCAATAAAGCTTAGCACTAGCTCCTCCACATGCACAAGATGGTATTACATTTCATGCATAAATTACTCATAATCTGGACTACTAAACTATAAAACTGTTATTTAAAAAATAATGCTCCATTCCTCTCGCAATCCTGTAAAGAGTTGGAACAAAATTAAAAACGCCAACCCCAACAAAAGCAGGTAGAAATCATTTCCATTTTCAGATCCAATTTCCAACATACCTCTATGTATTCTCTTATTTGGCAGGAAACCAGGTGTTTCATATTGCATTAGAGACCCCAAATGATCTGCTACACAAATCAGCTCCTGTACATTAGGCGTGTAGCTCTCAGTATTCTGAGGCAACACATCTCTGGAAGAAACATTACACACACACGATAAGGCATAATACTTTTACAACAGCCATTTGGAAATCTGATTCTACCCAAGGAGCAATCACTTCCTCCTCTGGGAAAATTACTAAGTCGGGCCTACAGCTGAGCCTATGCTGAGGAAATGTACAACAACACAATCTCTACTTTGATCTCTCCGCACTTAGCCATATTCAATTAAAAATGAATCAATTAAAGAGGGAAGTTAGAGAGTCACAGATGTACGTAGCAGGAAGGGACATCAGAGGCCATATTTGTATGCGTCTTTTTTTTTTTAAATGAATGGTATCCTAAAAGTCTTAGTATAGTTTTAAGTTTTTAAAAGCTTTAAAACTGTACTGAGACTTTCGGTACTGCACACGTGTGCGTGCACACAAACACACACACACACACACACACACACACACACACACACACACACACATACTCTCTCTCACTCACTCTCTCTGTACCAAGTGCTGAGGAGAAAAAGACAAAATAAAACAATCTCTGACCACAATAGAACCTACTTGTGACCCTGAAGGTGGATACATACACTTTCACCAATAGGTTTGATAAACCAATCATAAAACAAAACTATGATCTCATGTCACCTGTTTTAGCTATTGTTCCTATTGGTAGGAGAGATGGCGGAGGACAGCATACATCCTTTCTCTGAGGGAACTAGTCGTGAATTGATAACACTTTAAAAAACTTGTTCTGAAGGAATTCAAGTCTCTAAGGGTCCCACGCTTCCACAAAAGAGTACGTGTAGTTTGGATTTCGGTTTGGGGCTATAGCAAATGGCATATAGCACATAAACAAGAGGGAGAAAAGCTATCCTTAAGCAAGTTTCAACTCGCTGTGCTAAAAATATTTTCAGTACTATTAACCTCAAGCAAAGTTAACTTGAAGGAACATGTAGTGAAAGTGTTGTTGCGCATGTACAGGGCAGTGAACTGGGGGCCCAAAGAGAGAACTTCAGTTTGATCACTTCCTTGATAGGGGGCTGTACACCTGGTTGCTCTTCATAATCCTCTATGAGAAAGGGCAAATTTTTAGCCCAGTGATCTTTGAAGCTTCCAGGCAAATCCACATCAATATTATACTCTGTAAGTGGAGTATCGAGGTGTGCGTGAAGGTATCGAGAGTACTCTGTAGAAAATGAGAAATGTTTGACCCACTCAAACACAGTGCCAACAGCGTTTTTCCCCATGGCTAAGTGCCGTATGATCGTCGTGTCTGTCAACTGTTATTTAATCTATTCAGGAATTTAAAATGAGCATTCTAAATTTAGTAAATCACTGTGACTAAATGATAATAAAGCATGAAACAACACTGACTTCAGGTGCTAAGCTAAAAAGGGTCAAATGAATCTAGGCCATTTTAGATTAAATTCACCTAACCTTCCATGCATAATAGTAAAGATCTGATTTTCTCAATCCTAAAGCCAAAAAGGTTTTGGATGACTGCACCTGATTATCCTGAGGAAAATGACATCATGGAACCAGAGTTTAGAGTTTTATCATCATCACCATCATCACAATAGCTACCATTTCCATAGAGCTTTGAAGTCTCCAAAGCTCTTGACCTATATAATCTCACTTGGTCTGCACAACAATCCTGTGGGGTAGAGGCTACTATTATCCCTATACTGCAAATAAGGAAATGGAGGTTATTAAATAATTTGTCCAGAATCAGAAGGCTAATAAGCATCTGAGGCAGGATATGAACTCAGGTTCACTTGACTGAAAGCCGAGTGTGCTACTGTACCACCCAACTGCCTCATATGAAAGGTTATAGACTAAAAATGCCAACTCAACCCTTAGGCCAGACAATATGGAAACTAACTTAGAACAGAGGAATAAAAATGAGGTGAAACAATGGAAGACATGATTTCAACTCTATGGGGAGTACTACTGTGCTTTAAGAAATGATGAGCTCAATGACTTTTAGAAAAACATGGAAAGACTTGCACCAAATAATGAAGAGCAAAATGAGCAGAACCAAGAACACACTGTATACAGTAACAGCAACACTGTTTGAAGAACAGCTTTGAGCGAATACGTTATTTTGTCTATTATAAATACCCAAATTAACTATAAAGGACATATGAAGAAAAATGCTATCTGCATCTAGAGAAAAATGATAAAGAGAAGTACGCGTAGAATAATTCTACCTATATATACCTCTTTGTATCTAACAGGAGCCATCTCTAAGGTAGGGGGGAGGAAAGGAGAAAAAAAGAAAAAATTTACACGACAGTTTTGTTGTATATTGAAAGGAATAGCAAGTTCTGCATAGTAGATTTGCAGTTTCAAGTACAATTGCCTTTTTCATTGTACTATGTTATGGAAAATGCTTGTCTTATTCCACAAATTAAAAAGAAAATTAAAAATTGGAGAGAGTTCATTGAATTTTGCTTTCTTCTTTCATGCAAAATATTCAATACTTATTCTCTTAAAGCCACAAGATGCTTTCTGTGAGGAAGACCAATAATTCACTAAAGACTGACCTAAGGGACCTTCACATGCAAAGGATTTCTTTTCTTACCTATATCTAAGCTATTTTGAGAAGATGATACAGTTCTCAAGTGAAATGAAGATAAAAGAGGACTGTTACAGTTTTTTCCCAAATATGTTCCTTAAGGATAGGACTTGTTTCATTTCTGTCTTTATATTCCCAGTGCCTTGCACTCAGTGTATGATAAATGACTGCTGAATTGAATTACTATAGCTCCAAAGGGGTAAGAGATGGGAGGTGGGTATGGTTTTGGTCATTTCGGCCTTACCTCGGAGGTATTTCACTTTCAGATACTCTGGACTAGCCTTTTGGCCTGGGAGAGGGTCATTTAGCATGACTTCAGTTTGTGCTTTTATTCCTTCATAGAAGTGCCCCATTGCCACATGACTGAGTCCTTTCATATACTGGCACACTTCGTTGTATGGCTCGAGTTGTAGGCACCGCTGGGGAATTACAAAAGAAAATGCAGTCATATAATCTGTCTGGGTTAAAACAACATTGAAACTCTTTATTCAGAAGATACCTTTAACTTAGTTACCAAATTTCCATTCCAGGTTAAACCATATCAAATGTTTTGTAAATTAGCCTCTGTAGCACATATCACAGGATTTTAGGATTGTAGATTTAGAGCTGGAAGGGACCTTAGAGGCTGTGTGATCCAACCTCTTCATTTTATAGATGAGGAGACTGAGGTCCAGAGAGGTTAAATAACTTGCCTCCAACCACACAGGTAGTAAGTGACAGAGGTGAGATTCAAATCCTGACCCTGACTCCATATCCAACATTCTTTTCTAACAACGTGGTGCCCACTACACTCATTTTACTGGAAGCATATAAAAAACAACCACCCTACATTCTAAGAATTCCATCCGTTGCTCACCTTGAAATTCTTTAGGGCTTCCTGTAAGCTGCCATGGTGATAAAGCATCATCCCTCGGAGCTGTAAGGTCTGTACATGATTCTGATTGAGCAGCAGGGCCCTTTGAAAGCTCTCAGTGGCTGCTTCAAAGTTGCCCAGTTCTCTAGGTGTGTCACACAATAGTTAAGAACAGGGTATAGATATAATTAGTTGACATGAAAAATCTGCTTTTAGTTGAATTCTAATCAAATTTATAATGTGCTTATTATTATTAGTTCTGATGCCTATATTCTAGCCCAGGCTACACCACTGAAAACCTGTATGAATTCTGGCACATCATGTTCTTACACCTTCCACCAAACCTTACCCAAATGTTATAATAACAAAAAAATGTCGGTGAAGCAGATTGAACTCTAGAAATAAATTTCATCCTACAAATAATGTGAGTAATGTAATCACCTTGACTCATAAAGTGATTCTGCTCCCAGAAAACAAATTGGCATCTAAATTAGGGATTCTTAATCTTTTTTGTGCCATGGACTCCTTTGACAATCTGGAGGAACTTGTGGATCCTTTCTCAGAACAAGGTTTTTAAATGTATAAAATAAACCTCGTCGGATTTCAAGGAAAACCAATTATAGCAGAATACAAATGAAACTACCTACCTACAGATAGTTTCATATATACATATATATATATATATATACACACATACATATACATATATAAAATTTCATATGTATATGTGTATATATAAGTATACATGCCAAATATATTGAAATAGTTACCAAAATATTAAAAAACATGCAAATTCACATATCCTAGGCTAAGAACCCCTGATATAAGTGGTTACTGACCCAGAAAAGACAATATTTTCCTTTTTAAAAAACATTATTTGTAAAATTATGGAATTTTCAGATTACTACTGGTAGGGAGTGCTGGAATTACTGAGCCTATTTTACAGTCTAGGAACCCAAAGGTCAGAGATATAAAGTGACCAAAGTGGAAAGGTTAGAAAGTAGTTTGAGCTTGGGCGTTCTCGCTGCAAATCCGGTATTCACTAATATATCCATGCCGCCTCTCATTCCACGTACAGTATGTAAAGAGGGGATGAGATGATGGAAAAAAATCACTTATACTTACTATGTCCACTTCCTCGTCTCACATTCATTTCTCAATCCCCTGCAATTTGGCTTCAGCTCCACTACTCAATTAAAACTGCTCTCTACAACATTTTCTCTTAACTGCTAAATCTAATGGCCTTTTCTCAATTATTTATTGTCTTACTTGACCTCTCTGAAGCTTCCAATGCTGCTGACCATTCTCTCTTCCTTTGGCTTTCATGACATTTCTCTCTCTTAGTTTTCCTTTTACCTGTCTGATATACTTTCAGTGTCCTGGGCTGGAGCCTAACTTTCCAACTCACTAAAAGTAGGTATCACTCGAGGCTCGGTCCTCGGACCTCTTCTCTCTATATAATCTCTCCTTCTATGATCTCAACTCTCATAGCCTCAATTATCATCTCTCAGATTTATCTAACCCTAATTTCTCTTGAACTCCTGTCTCATATTCCCAACTACTTTACTCAACATTTAATTCAATAGTTTAATAAGCATTTAAGCAGCAACTACTATGTCTCAGGCACTGTGCTAAGTGCCAAGGAGACAAAGACCGAACAAAACAGTCACTGGCCTCAAGCAACTTACACTCTACTGAAGAAGACAACACATAAAAGTCCAGCTTCAAAGTGGACAGAAAGGTCCAGAGGTCCTTAAGGTACATCCATAGGCCAGATAACAATGCCTGTGGGTCTGGTGTGGCTCAGAGGGAGCTAGATCTCAGGCAGAGCTAGTATATGGAAGGAGTGTGAGAGAGAGGTCCAGGATTAAGGGGAGTTTTGCTCATTATGGAAAAGGAATTTTAGAGAGCACAGTGGAGGGAATGCACGGTGTCAGAGTAGGAATTGGGCAAGGTAGGGTTGAAGACGATGGGGATGAAGGACTCCGAATCACAAAATGGACATGGTTTCTTCCTTTATGTACAAACACAGAGGTAACAGCTTAAGAATTTCCAAGGGTTAGTAAAAATGATGCTGAATTGGGGCACTGGGGTACAATCGTTCCTGTTCCTCCTCTATGGTAGCTGTCAGAGGTGTGGGGTAGTGGTTCCCAAGCGGGCAAAGGGTAATGGTCAACCAGGCCATGGATCTGGGGTCTTCCTTGACCTATGGTTCTTCCTGCTCCCATTTAAGAGGAAGCATAGGAAATGGTGTTATTCCTGCTGGCAGAGAGTGCTAAGTGCTATGCAGTTATGATGACCAAGTGTGGCTCCCCAAAAGAGGTATGATATAATACCTTCTCCAACCTTTTTTTTTTTTTGCACAAGTGGGAGATTATGGGTGTGGGATACCACATATAATGACAAGCTTTTTTAATCTGTTGCTTAGTGTTATGGAAATTTTTTCTTTTTTTTCTTCATACTTTATTTTAAGGAATAACTCTCTAGGAAGGATGGAAAGGAAGGACATGGTAGAAATGTAGGTGATGCAAAATGAAATATATCAATGAAAATGCTTTTTTTTTTAAATAAATAAGAGGAGGCCCATGAGCACAGAGCATGAGGTAAGGCTGATTACCCAGCAAAGGAGACTGAAGAGGAGCAGCCCAGCAGATAGGAGAAAGACCAGGAGAGAGCAATGTCAAACAGAGGAAAGCAAGTTATCTAGCAGAAGATGCTAGTCAATAGTGGCAAATGCTGCAGAGGGGTTAAGAAGGCTAAGGATTGGGGTGGAGAGGTGTGGGGGAAACTGTATCTGATTAAGCAGCTAATAGAATTTTGGTAACCTTGGAGAAAACAGTTTCAGTTGAGTTATATTGTCAGTAAAATGGTAGGCTGCCTTTATCTTAGGCATTTCACTATTCTATACAAAACTGCTTAGGTTTTGGTTTAGTTTTTTTTTTTTAAAGATTTTACTAAAGTCTAATAAACGGGGGAATCTGTCATGCTAATTCATGAAACAGATTTAGTTTAATAAAAAAAAGTGGCTATATGAAAAAAAGATTAAATTGTATTACAATCCTTTAACACATTCACATACCCATGTAATTCAGAATAACCAATCTAATTTTTTATATAACCAATTTTTTTTATTTAACTAAATCTGTTTCATGCATTAGCACGGCAGATTTCCCCCCATTTATTAGCAATCTAAAAAAACAAAAGAACGAGCTGCTTTGGACAGAACAATGAAATACCATAGAGAAGGGCAGTCTACTATTTTAATATTACTACTGCAGGAGAATTTAGGATGAAAGAAACTTTGCTACTTCTTTAAGTCTAATTTTAAATTTACAAGGTCACACATTCTTTCTGCATATTTTTCTTTGTTCTAGGAATTTTTGCTATCGTAGCCTTTTGTAATAATGTCTTCTTTTTGCTTGCTCTTTGCCCTCCACCTCTCCCTTTTTTTTTAAAATTCTCCTTTTTCTCTTGTTTCTTGACTTCTCCTAATTCCAGGATCTGGTTTACGTGCATTTTCTATAGCATGGTTAGAAAACTCATCTAAAAATTCTTCCTTAAACAGTTTATATTTGGCAACATCAAGCATGCATTTACAGTAGTCTTTTGGCACTGAACAGACTCCACAGTAAAGTGTCTAAAATTCGTTTTTTGCAACTAATTTTGCTTTTTAGGTTCCCTTTGCAGGCAGGGGCACTAGACTCAGGAAAGTTTTGGGCCTTCTCATACATGGGAGAAAATGGTATTTTTTCCTCACCAACCATGGCTTCTTACCCCAGTCTAATGTTAAAAGCTTCTTTAAAATGTTCCTATCATTTTGGATGGCATTCACATCAGCCCCAATGACGTTCACTCACCTGTAGGCTTGACCAAGACTTTTATACGCATCAATAAAACCAGCTTTCTGTTTCAAGGCTTCTTTGAAAGACTCAATAGCTTCCTAGAAAAAACATTTTTTTAAAAAATTTTGTGTAATTCTATTTTGTGTTTCACTGACATATGAAGACTTTAAAAATATAAAGATACATATATGTCATGCATGACTTTTTGCAGTTCCTTTAGAATAGACTACCCAAGAAGGTGGGAGGAGGGGCTGCAACAAGTCAACCAGAAAGGACACTCAATACTACATGAATCAAAAGGAAGTAGTTTTCCCACTAACTCAACGGAAAGAATAAAAATTTTTTTAAATTTGTTACTCTACTCTGAAAAGTGGGAAAAATACTGCCACCTACTACTTAATTCACTGAGTTCATAGATCACAGAATTTAAAATTCTGTGATGAATAATGACAAAATCCCAATGGTAATACTTGAAAAAAGATTTAGGAAATTACAACTAGTGATACAGTACATGGAGACCTGGCCTCAGAATAAGCATGAAGAGCTTATAATAAGAATAAGCAAGGGAGCTTGGTAGAGGGAGTTTCTTAATCTGTGAGCTTCCCACAATGATGCCATCCTAAGGACATACTACAAATGATAAGAGGGTAGCAGCTGCCATTTATATAAATCTTTATGGTGTGCAAAGAACTTTATATCCATCTCATTTTATCCCCCAAACAACCTCGTAAGGTAGGTGCTATTACAATCTCCACTCTACAGATGAGGACGCTGAGACTAAGAATGGCTAAGCAAATGGCTGGGGGTCACAGAGCCAGCAAACACCCAGGGAAGAATTCAGATCCGGTCTTCTTAACTAGATATTGTATCCTGTAGACTATGTATGATAACCATTAAGACACTGAATTGGTTCAACACACTAATAATGGGAAGAACTAATAATAACAGCTAATAATAATAACAACAGCTAACATTTATATAACATTTACTATGCGCCAGGCACTGTGCTAAGCTCTTTACAATTATGGTCTCCTTTGATTC